CAATCTGATAGTCTTCGACCATCTCGTAAAGAGATGCGAATAAAAAAGCATACTCAACGTAGCTTTAATATAGAAAGTTAAACTCCGCTTTTTCCTTCTTATAAGAATTTTATTCTTTCTGAATTCGCTTTTAACAAAGTAAAAAATAAAAGAAAAATCTATGTGAATCCACTTTAAAAATATCTTGTAAAAAAAATTACCTTCAAGATATTTAGGTCATTCAGGATTAATTACAGGGAAAGATTAAAATAAAAAAAAAAAGAGAGAGAGGAAGAGAGAGAGACAAAGGGAAAATAAAAAAATGTGATTTTTCTTTTTGCTCTACTATATATCGCGTTTTGGATCATTGACAGATTGAAGTGTTATAAAAAGCGAAAAGCGAAAAAGCAAGCAAAAGAAGCAATCAGGAACGTACTCTTTATAAGCAAGCGGGTGCGTGAAAGTTAGCAGCCAATCGGGAAACAAGAATACGCAATGTGCCATACTTTTGTTCTATTCTGTCGTATAGGTAATCGATTTTGCCCTCTGATTGAAACGTCCGCTTTTGATCAAAGCAACTAATCTCTGTCATACGCGATTTCATCGTTCAAAATATTTCCCTTCGGAAATATACATACTTTCACCTTTATCATACATACTTGGTTCAATACTTTTATCCTAAACCATTTTCTTATACAATAATAGTAGTTTCTGAAAAGACTAATATTTCTTATTCGAATTTCCCTTCATTCAGTATCGTTGTAATACTCATCATAAGTTTTTCTAACTGTTTATATTGAATCGAAAGCCATAATCTGGATAATCATATTAACACATATAGAATAAGAAGAAATAGCAATGAAAAATATGGAGAAATGCAATTTTATTCCATATCTTTTTAATTATCTCTAAATACAAAAGATCTTATTTAAATTATTTTCATAATCATATATATATAAAGTAAATCTTCAGACTTTATCATTGTGTTTAACTATAATCGTTTTCTTTGAAACATGAATTTTTATTAACATTCAAGGTAGCGATGAAGAAAAAAGTTCGTTTCGTGCCACCGAAATTTTCAGAAAACGTTTTCGACCCTTTTATACCGCATAACTCTTCTTTCTCTCTCTCTCTTTCTCTCTCTCTCTCTCTCTCTCTCTCTCTCTCTCTCTCTCTCTCTCTCTCTCTCTCTCTCTCTCTCTTGCTGCACGATCACTGGCTCGCTCTTGTTCAGCCCTTCGAGAGGGGCCGTCGAACAAAACTGCATTCACCGTGTGCGGAGGTCGTAAGTAATAAAAGGGATGCACGAGGTCTTTCTCGGTATTGATCGGCCCCTATTCTCTGACGTAAATAAATGTATGTAAAACGATGTACGTGATACGTAATTACGAGTAACGCCATCCGATTAACAATGTTTCATGCGTAATCCAAAAATTTATCTTAATTGAAATCTTTTGCGATTCGGTCAAAACCATGAAGAAATTAGGAAACGTCAAACCTCAAAATTACTTTGATTTAACATTAAACGTTAGAGATGAGAAAATATCTTTCAATTTATATTGAACGATTCATACAATCTGTTACAAGACATTTTATCTATATTTTTCGATAAGAGAAGCAACTTGTATCGATATCTGTGACAATACGTTTAAACTCCGAGTCATTGATTTTATTTATACCAAGAAATGATTTTTCAAATTGTTTAACATTGATTCTTTATTCTTTTTTACTGTATCGATCAAAAACAAATTATATAACTTATCCAGAGTAACATAAATCTTTCACGAACGAATAATGAGTTTTTCAAAGGTAACAATTGATTTTTTTTTTATTTTTCTTCCACGTTTCGTATTTCACATTTCCCCTAGTGGCAATAGATTATCACTCATCAGCACACAAAGCAGGTGCGAGTTCGATCTTTCCAACTAACATATCATCGAAACATCTGTGCTTTGAACGGACAATCGGTATCACGTTATTGCACGGATACAAAGAGAAAAGCATCGGCTAGTAAATATTTATGTATGCTTCTCTATTGCTCGTTCTCTAACTCATTCCTTACTTCGATCACTTATATCGAATAAATTGAGAGTTGTGATTTTTCTTCTTGTAAAAGATCTAAACTTAGAAAAATATATTATTTTTCCTTACTTTTCCACGAACTTTTATATCATCTCCTTTCAAAATTTTATCGTCAGCAAAAGGAATGAGAGGATCTATAAAAGAGTCGCTGAGTTCGTTATCTTTTCATCTACGAGCTAACGAAAGAATCAGCTCAAAGTTTGGTACCCAGAATGCTCGGTTTTTACGTTTTGCAACCGAACTTCTCATAACTTTTGATAAAGAAGAAAAGAAAAACTAAAAATTAACGCTTTCTTTCTCTGAGTGATATCGACGATAGTTATACGTTTATTCGTAGCACGTTTCATCTTTCATCGGAGGAGGAATTATCGTAAACTGTATCGACGTATAAACCTCGAAAGTAGCGAGAAACGTGAATAAGAGAGAGAGAGAGAGAAAGGAAAAGATGTAAAAAGCAACATATGTGTATCAAGTTTTTATAAGTATCTTCGATCGTTCGTCATCCTTTGTGTTATTCGAATAATCAATTCACCCACTGTTTTTTCTTCTTTCCTTCGCGATGCGCGAAAGCAGTGAATAAAAGCATGAACTCGTTCCCCACTCGAATCGGCGTTTATTTAAAGAAAACTTTCAATACTCAAGAGAGCCTGATCGACACTTAACGTTTCACAACAGAAGACAGGAAATACGTTCGGAAGAAGATTTGTACAATTCTTTCTTTTTCCATCATATTTTTTTCTTTCTTTTCCCTTTAATTTGGATAAATAAAAAGAATAAAGAAACAAAAGAAGAATATATTTTACGTCGTTCATTATGACATAACGATTTGTCTTCGAGAATACAGACATAACATATTTAAGCATATATCATTTTCTTTTCATGTCTTATAAATGTAATTGATAAGATTGCACCTATATATATAACAATGCGATTCTTGTATGATAACCATGTTTATACGCTTCGAACGGATTCTTTCTCTCTCTCTCCCTCCCTCTCTCTCTTTTTCTATCTGTCTTTCTCTCTCTCATAATTCTTTTCATTTGCGGTTTTTACTCATTTGTCTTAAGAATAAGCATACCCGTATACGTTCGAAAATCATTTACCTTGAGTTTCACTTAAATAGCAAAGAGAATAACAGGTTGGAACGAACCATAATGTTTTGAAATGAAACTATTGTATTCTTAGTCTTCGTAGAGAGAAGGCAGTCGTTTGAGAAAGTAAGATTTTTCGAGAATTTAAAAATTATATCCGGATTGAGTTTTTATCCTTGAAGAAAATAAAATACGAAAGATCATCATAAATTCGCAAAAGAAATAAGATAGAACTTGTCTTCTTGTCACATCGTACACACACACACACATTACACAACTACACTACAAAAACTTAGTTTGTATAAGAGGATACACATTTATTCATCCTTGATAAAGGTAGCAACTGAGAACTCACAAAACAATAAAACGCGTCGAGGTAAGTCATTCAACTTTAGGATTAACGGTCTGACAGCGGAAAAAGAATTTATCTCTACGACCGATGAGTTTCTTCGAGCGAAACCAACAGACTTTTTTTGTGAAATCCTTAGAAACGAAGTTGTTCAACTACGACGACACGACGACGGCAGTTAGTTCCGTTGTTAATTACGAACTGCTAGAACCTACCATAGTGTGAAACTTCGCTTTCAAGAAACTTCTTCGACAGAAATTCGAAAAGTCCATCTCTTCTCTGAACATACATTCGAAAAAACCGGTTTTACCTTTCCGCAAGAGAGAGAGAGAGAGAGAGAGAGAGAGAGAGAGAGAGAGAGAGAGAGAAAGAGAGAGAGAGAGAGAGAAAAAGAGAAAGAGAGAGAGAGAGAGAGAAAAAGAGAGAAAGAGAGAAAGAGAGAAAAAGAAAAAAGAGAGAAAGAGAGAGAGAGAGAGAAAAAGAGAAAAAGAGAAAAAGAGAGAAAGAGAGAGAGAGAAAAAGAGAAAAAGAGAGAAAAGAGAGAGAGAGAGAGAGAGAGAGAGAGAGAAAAAGAGAAAAAGAGAGAAAGAGAGAGAGAGAAAAAGAGAAAAAGAGAGAAAGAGAGAGAGAGAGAAAGAGAAATTCAACTACTCCTACTACTGTCGAAAGATTTCGACGATGAACAACTTCATTTTCCATTTTCGAATCTATCATACACGTCTCCTTACTTGCCTCTAATGCGATAACCTTAAGCCTTTGGGAACTGACAAGACAATGTAATCGCCAGCCAAAGATAAGTTTTGTTCACGAGAAACACTAGAAAGTCCTTAAAACACAAAGTTTCTCTCCTTTGTTTGCGCATTTTCTTACTATATATATACATAATAAACAAATACCGAAGTAGATGTAGAGAGAACAAAAAAGATATTGTTGGAAAAATAATATAAAAATAATTTTTAATCATTATTGACCATCGAAACGTACTGGAATACGAATCGTGCGATTAAGCTACAACACAGAGACGACTTTTGTAAGAGGAGCACGAGGAAGAGTCGGCTAGCAATGCTGACACATGCGTCTGCAATAATGAAAGTGATAAAGGATTAAACAAAAAGAAACATGATCGTAACTACTCTCTACAAATCTCGATTGTTCTGTCGTTCCTTATGATACATCGGTTTTATAGTAAAAGAATTCACTACGAAGGAAAAAGAAAACAAAATAAACGAAAGAGTGTTTATATTTTCTTACAACACATTATCGGCTTATCTCCCGATCGCACGAGATTCAAAGATTCCCTCCTTCTCTCCCTCCCCCCTCTTTCTCTCTTTCCATTGAAAAATGAATCTTTTCTGCGAAGTTGACTACGAAATGCTTATCGCGATTGTTAAATCGCGAAGTATATTACGAATCACATCCTTTCACGGAAGAATTGCGTCACACCATTTCCAGATTGCAAAAGAATCAAGAATGATTCAAGAACAAGAATGCTGTCTTACCTATCTCGTTTATCATTAAATCCCTCGAAGGCGTTCTTAGTTATGAACGAAATAACACGTTTCAAAAGAAAACAAGAGAAAAAATGAAAGAAAAAGAGACACTAGAGAAGCGTTATTGCAAGAGAACGATGGAAACCGTTAAGTCGAATGCGTCGTCGTCCAGTTTCTCCTGCGGCGTAACAAGAGCGTCGCGACGCCGTTATTCATCGTTCCTTCTCGGAAACGCTCGCAGTAACTTGAAGAGAAATCCCTCTACTTCAAAAAGAAAATGAGAGAGAAAGAGAGAGAAAGAGAGGCCTAAGACCTCGTCACTCACGACCAATAAAGATGTTGATAATGAGACGAAGACGTAATACACCTTGCGAGATATGTAGGTGCGCACGCGTTCTTCTTTCTCTCTCACTTTTCCTTTGATCTACACATCTATCTATCTCTTCCTTTCTCTCTCTCTTTCTCTCCTTATTTCTTTTTCTCGAACTTTTCCACGAAAAAGAGAAACTCTTTTTCCCGCTCGAATGTCCTTCCCTGCACGGATCGTTTCTTTCCCCTCTTCTCCTTCTTTTTCTTCTCCTTCTTTTTCTTCTGCTTCTCGACTTTCGATGGAACTCGAAGGTCTGCTTTTATTCTTTTTTCTTTCTTCCTTTCTCTCGGTCTTCTTTGAAAGATCGAGAATCGTTGAAGTCCTGACCGCACAGGAAACACGCTGGTCACGCTATCCACTGACAGGGTGGTAAAGTTCGTTGAAAACGAACGGTTTCGTGAACGAGTGAAAGAGAGAGAAATAATATACAGTGTAATGGAATAGAAAGAGAGAAAAGAAAACACGGTCACGAACGAATACACACATGCACACACAATAAATACACAGTATGCGGTAGCAATGGGAATAGCAAAAGCTGCCTACGGCAATATGTACCGCACTCGACTACGTCGCGCGCTCGACTGCGGTCGGTCGGTTTGCTGAGGCCGAATGTCGAAGACCACCTAGCAGAGTACGGAGCAGAGGAGCCTAGCAAGCAGAAGCAACGAGTCGATTACCCGCACGCTCCATCGTACGTCGAGACTCTTTTTCAAAGTCTCTTCTTACTTACACTCAGAAGATCCTGCTAACTCGACTGATTCTCTTATTCTTTTGGGAACACTCGAGATAACTCGGAATCATTTGAAACATCAGTTCGAATGATTTCCTGTTACATGCATGTGGGAAGATTTAAAAAGAAATTCTTTCTTATTAAACCAATAGAAAGACGTTTCATGTTAAAGAGTAGCATGATCTAGAAGAAAATTTTTTACTCTACGATTTGTTTTTTTTTTTTGAGAGAAATTTCGAATTTTTAAAGTAAATAAAAATGATTACCGAATGATCATATGAGAAATTCCATGATATTTTCAAATTGAGTAATCGTTCTAAATAGCCAGATATTTCTGCTCCACGTTATGCTCACAGCTGATTTAATGTGAATTGGATATTGTAACTTTGATTAATTTATTAATATTTGTTGGTAATCCACAAGTGTTGAGACTTCTAATGTATATGGTATACATATATGATATACAGTAACATATAACTAATAACATATGTGCAATCATGCATTAAATAAATCATATATAACGGTCAGTTATAAATAAATTAATATCTTTCTTATTAAGGAAGATTACTTGATCCTAACCGTTTTATAAAGTTTATAGAGAAAACGATGCAGCTTTCTTGCATCCGAATTGTGTGCAGGCGTGCTGTGTTAAAGCTTTACACGAGAATGAGCTTTGTCGAAAAAGGCAACATTTCTCAAACGGCAGATATTTCGAAAAAAAAGAAAAAAGAAAAAAAAATCGTGCTTTAAAAGCATCACCGCGCGAGTACCATTGTTGAGCACGTTAAATGCCTTGCGGAAACTAGGGCATAGATAAAGCCGAAAATACAGGTATACATATAGTAAAGCGGCAGACTTAATTGTCTGTAGAAGATGGATTTGGATTTCTGCTTCAAATTCGCGGATCGATCGCTTCGAATTTACTGCAAAATTACCGTCCCGTTCGTTTAAGTGTTCAATTTTTCGATCATTTTTTTTCATTGTTCAGTTTTATTTATAGTTTATTACTCTATTTTATTGGAAAACAATCAAATATATTTATAAAACTACTTATACATGAATTAATTTCATCGTTATATTTAGGTATTGTTAATAAATTCCATTGAAAGTTCAAATACTCTTAATACTGGATTTGGAATCGAAAGGATAAACAGAATAAACCTTTCACGAAATTAAGTCGATCGCCAGAATTGTTTTTGAGGCCGTTTAACGCCAAATCAGAATGTATTGTAAAGCAAAAATACAGGGGGATTAAAAATACACCGAATTCGAATTCACTGACCTGGCCGTCATCCGTAGTCAGCTGCACTGATTACAACTATACAGAAGAGGCTGTTTGAGGTAAAGGGGAAAAGAATGAAAGATAGAGTCAGCTAGAGAGATAGAGAGACGAAGAAGGAGAGAAACAAGGGCAGCGCATAACGCTCTTTTTCATGTTTAGATTCCTTTCAGTGGTGCTCAACGAAACTTGAAATGATCTTCCGAATTTCGAGCGACATCTAAAGTTATCTCATTTGTCCTCTGATTTGTCGAGAACTCTACTATTTTCCAAAATAATGACTGTCAAACATACTCAATGTTTCATCTTATCATTCGTTTTGAAAAATGTTAAATTTATATTTGCAAAGAAAAACGAAATCAATTCGCGATTTACAAATTAAAAACATATATTGAATATCACAATTATAATGATTCATGATAAATTTTAATTAAAAATTTTAATATTTCCGCATTGATTTTATCATATCAATCATTTATATAGAATAATAAGAAATATAATATAAGAAACAGACACATAAAATTGATAAAATAATAATTAAAAAATATGTTAGAAATATATATGACAGTCACGGTCGATACACATTTTTCAAAATAAAGAACATTGTGGATTCGCAGGAAGGAGATGAGAAAAGACCTCAGATACAACGTGCAGAGGGCCAAACGTATGAATCGATAGTTCTCTCTTCCTAAAAGATCATACATTAAAGCGACGGAAAAAAGGATCTCTCTTACCCTAATGGGTTAAATATTCTCACTGCGCCATACTGCCTTAATTATTATTTAATGACATCCCTATCGCGTTAAATTCCGCATATATTGCAGAAATCCCGCAAATCGACCGATACTAAGGACGACATTTAAGAGAACAGTTTTAACAAATATGTGAAACCCGATGATGCATTTACACAAAGAAAAAAAAATTGGATCGGCTTCGTATTTAATGTTATAGCATTATAAAATATCGAATCAATTCAATTTCCACACTCGCAACGGTCTTGAAGCAAACGTCAAATTTATCCGTCCGAAATGAAAAGAAGAGAAATAAAAAAGTATACAGTATACCACATATAAACGTGTGCATATGCATATGTATGTGTTTTTACCCCCTCCCCCCTTGTGCATGTATGTGAGTACATATGTGCAGATGAAAAATTGAAATCGAATTACTCGTAAAACTATTTGTCGAAGAACAATCCTTTCGTTATCCTAGGTTTACCAAAATTATATATCCCCTATTATTATTAACGTTTTACCGGCGTCGAATGTTTTCAGTTGGAAAAAAGTGTAAGAAGAGAAAAAAAAGAAAATAAGAAAATATAGTCCACAGTGCTCTTTTCATACTCGTAGTTCAAAGGCCTGCCATTCGCCCCGTTCCTCGCACCATTGTAAGCTATCTGCATCTCTGCTTGGAGACTTCCGAGGGTTGAGAATCATAATGGCGCGAAAACAAAAGATTCCCTCGACAAGGGCACCTGGAACTTTTTCTTTAAGCGTTGGTCCACCGTACCTGCGTTGTATTTGAATTTTTATCGGGCAACTGCGATACATCCTGCTCGATGTACATGCCCGATGAAAAAAATTTAAAGAAACAAAAGCAAGGCAGAGGTACGAAAAGGAGGAGGAAGAGAAGAAAGTCTTGAAAACTTATACAATTTTAAAAATTCTACTCAAAAAACTAATTAATACATATACATACATATACGTACTTACGTATAATATATATTGTAAGTACAAATAATATAAGTACATATACACATATGTACTTACGTGTATCGACCTGAATGCATATACGGTTTACTAATGTAATTGTGTAAAAAGTTACAAAATTACTGTTCATTATATAATATTTTTTCACTATATTCCGATATACATATATCGAACGTATTTATATCTCGTTTTCTTTTAAACATAGTCACATAACACATAGTAGATACTCGTGTTCTCGACGCGAATGTTTTATCTAGTTTTTATTTTTAAATTCTGTAAAGATTTACATGCAGTTAATTGAACTTGGATACAAAAATATCTGCTACATATATGGATATACGTGTGTGTACACGAAGATTGTATACAATCGTGTATGTAAAAACACTCGGAAATATATATGTATGTGTATGCATTTAATATACATCTGCGAGATGTTCCATCCATATTTGCATGAACACACCTAAATTCCTCACCGAGAATTCTTCAAAAGGATCAAAAATATAAGACATAGAAAATAAAAGACGTTGCATACGCAAAGGAAAATTTTTACCTCGATCATTTTATATTCGAAGTAACCCTTTAAAATTCCTCTATATATTTCTCTATCTCTCTCTTTTATCAAAAAAAACTATCTTTCTCAAAATATCTTTCGAGATATTAGTAGATATGTGCAAACAGCAAACAAAATTAATTTGTAAGAAAGGAAAAATGTTAAAATAGAAAATAATCAAAAATAGATTTTCAAGTCATAAATTCATCGATGATCATTTTATCAAAACAAAGAAAAACTTTTTATACGTTTATATATATTGATTGTACATACTTCATTTAATAAGAAATGAATGAGAAGGAAAGAAACGTTCTGCAGCGAACAATGTAACGAAATACACATAATTAAGTATATTACAGAGAAAACACAAACAGGCAAAAATTACATATAGGAAAAGAAAAAAAATAATCCAAGAAACTACAAATTATTTTCTATAATATACAAGTGCAATAATTAATTTCGTTATGTTAGTTTCGTTATTACTTACGTATCAAAAGCAACGAATAAATCCTTTCAGGATTGTGATGAATAGGAAAGATAGGTGCAACTTGATAAGACAAAAACACACACATACGCAGCACACATACGGCACGTATTCGGGTAAATTTGAGACTAGCGATGTCGGGTTGCGATGGCGCAGTAGAAAATGATGGCCGGAAACTCAGTTTGAACCGATTCCCAACGGTAGAATTAACTTCAACTTCTATATCAAGTTGAGGTTCTATTCCAGATAGTATATTAACTTGAGACTTGTGTAAACTCGTCGTATATGAAAGTGTTGAATCTAATAACTTTAATTTAACGTATGCGATTTGTAGAGTCCTTTGATAACCCATCTACACGTATAAAAATCGAATAAAAATAACAAGAAATAAATTAACAAATATCAAGAAATTATAAATTTTTCAAATTACACGTGTCTATTAAATCGATAAGTATTTTAAATAACCTATTCGCAGTCATAAACATGGATAAATATCTATCCAAAAATCTCACGTTCTTCCATTCGTTTCTTTTTCTATTCTTGTAGTATCATATCAAACTATCAATATAAATTTACGATACTTACAGATAAAAACAGTTAGTCCTACTCGGTACATTGACTATGAACCACTTGAAAAATGTCGAAACGCACTAATGTAAATACGTAGATCTGTTCGAAGACAAATGAATAACAGAAGGAATCATTGGAAACGTTTCTTTTGATAAGCGAATAATATATGGTTTTCACATATATTAGCTATAACTAATTCGTATTAGTATCATAATACATTATTTAAAAAATGTTATTACGTCTGTTTTCAAAACATTATTAAACTATTATAGATATGATCCATTTGATAATTCTATATTCGATTCTGTACGCGATACATACGAGATTTAAAAAGAAATTTCTAAGTACTCGAAAAATGATCAAATGCAAGCACATGCTCCTTCTTTGCTCATTCTTTTTTCGTTTAATAGCAACAAATGACGTCAATTTCAAAAATAGTCTTACACGTGTGCTGCTGACAAATTTCTATCGTTACGATATCTGGTTACTATCATGAACTGCTTACTCGATTAAATCTCACAAATAACATCGTATATACTTTAACCTGCGAGAATAAAAAACTTGAAAGCAATATTTGACCCAATCTTGCTTCAAATAAAAATATACGAAAAAATGACAAGTACTAATGATTTTTTTTAAAAACATCCCTTTTTCAGGAATAAAAGAATTACATTTATTATTTTATTCGTGTGTGTGTGTGTATATTGGGTTTAAGTGAAAAGCATTATTTCATATTGTAAAGATTATTAATATATTAATATTACAAAAGTAACTAACGTAGTAAAAAAATTGCACATGAGTATTTAAATTACTATATATTTTCATACAGTCTACCAATATTATTTATTAACGATGACATTCTAAAGATTAAAATATGTGTTATTTATAGATGAGCAAGACTCATAATGTGGAATTAATATAGTATGAATTCAATCATTTTGTCATTTTGTAAATTTGATAAATACGTTCCAAAGATTATATTTTGTATAATTTAATGTTGGTAATATATATGAAGAAAAAGTTAAGCAGATGATAATGCATGCTATCATACTGATAATCATAAATATATGAATATGTATACAATATATAATGAATATTGCATGTTGATATAAGGTGATTTGAATTCTGGAAACAATACCGGGTACACTTCATACGTCGGCTAAAAGATACAAAATATTCGAAGATATTTTGTATCAGTGATACATGTAACATTTCAAAAGTACATTGGTACATATTGCAACTGTATAAAATGATGATAAGTAATCAGTTGTGAATACATTTAAATAGTATTAGTGATATTGTTGTATCTTACTTTATATATTGAGTCTAAAATCCTAAAATCTCAATAAGCGTTTGCTTATAGGTTTTGTACTTTTTATTCATCAGGTATATTCTCCAGACCCTGTAGATAAAAAGATCTATTACTTTCTTACTTACATAATTTTATTTTACCAGAGAGAGGAACTATAAATTATATTATGTTCTTTATTACCACTGTGTTCCACGGTGCTCCAGAAATATAAATATCCCTTGTGAACGTTTGACATTTCCATGATACTTGCATTATTAATATATTGACTATAGAAATGAATTATTACTGTAGTCAAAGCCAAGTCCATTGTTAGTTACATCAAGTAATACAAGCAGAAATCCATAAAATCATATTGATGTACTTATACCTTAATCAAATATATTTATAAGAAATATTAAAAATTATGATTATTCTTACATATATGTTGTTATACAAATCTGTTTCTAAGAATCTAAAATCTTAAAAAAGTTTCTAAAAAACTAAAATCTTAAAAAGATAGTTTATAATTAAAGAAAGAAGATTTGTTGAACTACTGAACTGGAAGAAATATAAATTTGAATGTCTAAAAAAACGATTAACTTACATTTCTCAGAAGAAATTAATTTTCATTAAATGTAGCATAATTTGTTATAACCAGGTAAAATATGCTCATAAAGCCATCTTTGATATTATTAAGTATCACATTGTAACTTTAATATTGAATAGTTCGTAGCGTGATAGAAAAAACCGGAAAACGCACCTTCAAAAAAAAAGATTCCGTGCTGCAGAATTGACGGAAAACCATAGAATAAAATAATCAAGATTTATCAGCTATAAGTGTTACCACCTTAAAACAACAATTTCGTAAAATACCTTCTTTCCTACAAATGTTGCAATAAAAGAAACAAGCTACATAAAATATCCAATCCCATCCAATCATTTTCTTTAATCTTCAGGATATGTTAAACATGACCGGTTGTTCGCAATCATTTCCAGCGATGAAAATGCTCAATATCAATTTTTTATATATAATTAACGTTTATTGGTCAATTTTTGTTTATCTTTTATACGAATATTAAAAATTACTGAAAATAAGCAACACGTTGCGACAAATAAATGTCGTCTATTTTCTTTCTTTTATAATCTCATATATTTCTTGCAGTTTGTCCGGATGAGATAATCAATAAATTGTTCTGTTTTGATATAGGATAGCATGTGGTTCCTATTCCCATTGGAATAGCTACTTCAAAGGAGATGCTCTGTAGAATGTTTATATTTCTAATTGTATTGCAGATGCTTTCTTTTTAATCTTCTAACAATATTTTTAATGAACAAACTATTTGTCTGTGAATTTGGATGGCTTGATATTCTTATGAAGATTTATATCTTAATAAGAAATTTATATATTATAATATTATATATATTATAAGATTTATATCTTTCATAAAATCATATTATATATATATGTACGATACGCATGAGCATGTCTGGAATATTATATATATTGTTATTTCCCCATTTGTAGTGAGAAACATGTAAATGTTTGCATATCTCTTCATTTCTTCTACTACTGTACATTAGCTATTGTTAAAAGTAATGACTTTTTACTGCTATACTCTATAATTAAATGCCATAAGTCCAAATAAGTTTAATTATGACTATAGTAGTTTGTTTTCTATGTTTAATTTCGATCTTCGACTAGTTAATCAATGTATATTTCTTTTTTTGATTCTAACTTGTTCTACATATATAAAAGAAAAAAATATATATATTTATAAAAGAAAGAAAATAATATATATATATATATTTTTTTTTTATTTTCTTTATTTTTCCATATTAGTTTCGAATCTACCATGAACAAAAAGACTTAAGTCATCGATTTTAATTCACCAAGTATCAGGTTCGTTTAAGATCATATATACAAAATTCCATAAGGATGTAAGACATAAATGTAGAAAATCGACCAATTGTAATCCTTTTACTTTTGTCCATAAAACTTAAAACGTAATATCAACAAATTCCGTAAGGACGAAATTTTTATGATATACGTCTTCTGGATAAACAATCATAAGTTATCACAGAGTACGCGCTTTAATCATAAATTAATGAAATTATGTACTTAATGCATAATGTCTTATAAAATGAATGATCATAATCAATATTATATGTTTAATAATTTTGAAAATAAAGCTTAAGTAAGAAGAGAAATATAAATATAATATCTAATTAAACGTTTATTTAACGATTTAGATACTTTCAATATGAGATTACTTTCTTTTGTTAAATATAAATAATCCTAATATTCGTATATCTAAATAGATTTTATATCTATGCAAAATCGACAATTCAATACAAAATTGTTGGTAAATTATAAAAGAGAAGCGTATTTATTGTTTGGTGAAATAGCAAATTACATTAATATTTTTAGATTAAACCTTTATAAATTAAAAAAAATATTTTCCCGCTTTTGTTATTCGTTGAATTTTACATTTTAGATCAATTGTTTGTCATGAACTATATGTTTTACATTTTAAGTTTACGACCTAATTCCTTATAAAATTTTGTTTGCGATGGCTTTAAGAGCTTAGCAAGTTAAGTCCTTCATATATACATTGACGTAAAATGTATAAATAAAAGTACGTAAAGTTATAAGCGTAGTATATAAGCGGCATCGCATACGCCTACCACAAGCCATAATTCGACCAATCACAATCATCATTGAAAAAATTACGCGAAAATATAATTCTTATGTATTGAGTGCTGTTTACTGCATCTTTATTTTTGTATTAATTTGTTTAGTATAAGTATACAATGATAATATATTTACAATATCATATATTTTAATATTTCCAAATTTATAATGTAAATTAGTCGTGTATATTTATATATTTTTATTACAAAATCATCAAAGGAATGAATGTCATTTATAATTTCTATATGTATGCTGTATTGCTTAGCATTTATGATCAACTTTTATGATCACCCATTTATTAAAATTTAAAACACAATGCTCTTGAGTCGCATTTATAAAATTTCAAGGATCGACTTTAAATACGTACATATGGAAGTAAGACGTAAACATTTTATCCTTACGAATTTTTTCATCGTTCATCTTACATCTAACATTAAAAAATATAGAGATGAATAATTGGCTACAATTAATGGATTTTCTTATGTTTTACATCAATGGAAAGGCCTTACAGTTACTGTACTGTCAGAAAGTGTGTGTGAAGATTCTAAAGGTTAAGTTAGAGACGCTACAACGTATCATAAGGTATAGACCATGCTTGCAACGTAAATGATGTAAATGTAAACTAACTTTGTTGTTACTTAAATGAAAGATCTGTGCTAACGGTTTTTAAAATGGGGTTTCTTTCGAGTCTTTCTGCAGAACATGAAGAACAATTAGAAGTAAATGACGAGCATGAATGTTCGCAAAATGAAGATAAATTAACAAATGCCTTCAAATATTGTAACAATTTGTTGCAAGCAGAAGGTTGTTTTAATAAAAATATCTTCTATCGAAATAAATTCCATTGCCGTGGAATAAGTAATCTGTAAAGAAATTATCAACGTTATGAGAGAAATTATTATAAAAAATGATTTGGTATTGTTCAATGAAAATGATTCGAAAGGAATTTACAAAAGAATATGTTATAGTTTTTCTGTTGCTGAGGATAAAATGAATTTTTTACGAAATTAGCTCATTTTTCGTAATTTTGTCATACAATTTCATTTAAATTTATAGATAAAAATTAAAGAAAATGAAGATTATGAGTCTCCATTCTATGAGCATATTTCTTTGGAATACGGAAGATGAGAATCGTTTCTCTTGAACCTCATCTGTAATTATCTTTAGTAACTATTCATAAAAAAGCAAGCACTTAAATAGAAAATAATATCACAAATAAAGAAAAATATGAAGAATAATGGAACATGCTATGATAAATGATTGCATATTAACAAAGAAACTTTCAATCTTTTTAAAGAAACTGGTAAGCTTATTGTTTTATCTACCCAAAAAGAAATAAATAAAAATAAATATATTTCTGAATGCTTGGTACTAAATTATAGATTAGATAAACTAGAAGTACTAGAAAGGAGAATCATAAGGAAAATTTTAGGTCCATTGAAAACAATAAAAGTATGGAAATTAATATCTAATAATGAAATATACAGGAACATAGAAGGCATAACAGAAACGATAAGGAAAAGAAGACTGCAATTTTTTGGGCATATTTACAGAACGGATGAGTCCAGATTAACAAAAAGGATATTCATGTAGCTTTGGGAGAAAAAGGCAACAACTAGCTGGATTCAAGAGGTAAAGAAAGATCTAGAAAGAAATAATATAAGTGAGGAAGAAACTATAGACAGAGAGATTTTTAGAAAGAGGGTATTAAACATAGAAGAATTCCAAGGAAGATTGAAGAAGAAACCTGATGCGAAGTGGTCTGAAGACAGAAAGAAACAGCATAGTGAAAAGATGAAGGAATATTGGAGGGAACGGAAAAGAAAACAGTTAAGTGTGAAGAATTTAAATTGGCACGTGGTCCCTAGCAGGCCTCATCGAAAGAAGAAGAAGAAGAAATATATTTCTAAAAGTATGTACAATATATTAATTTTTAATTTTAATAGATGATTAATCAGACAATCCAGCAATAAGCAATGATAATGGTATAAATAAGACAAAATTAGAAAAAAGTGTAATGCAGAAAGTTTTATTGCATATTATAATAATAATAATAATAGTTTGAATGAAACAATAAAAATTGGGCTTGGATGGAACATGCGATCTTCAAACTTATGGTACTGCACTTAACTATTGCTAGCATATGCTGATATTTGACGAATGATTTGTCTCTAGCAAAACAGTATGGTATAATTCAAACAACAATTTCTTATTAAAAACTGAGTAGTGCATTGCATTCAAATAGCATTCGTTATTTCTATATCAATAATACATTCTTTATTTTCCGTTGATTAAGTCAAATCTGAAATTTTATTTGTTTTGATTTTTGACACAAATTTTTCCTTATAGTGTCACGTATTTTACTGTTTTGCTCTATGTTGTGAGTGACTTTGTCTGTTATTGCATTTCCCAGTGTAGTAATTTGTGAATGAAATATTTTATAAAGATATTGTACAAATGTTGTAATATGTTCCAATTAAGCTTTTGTTGAGGATCCATTTGGTTTTCTTATTGCTAGTGTTAGTATTGTTGGTCTTCTTAATCTTACCAAACAAAATAGCCTGTATTCTCATTTGGCACCAAATTAAAACGCATGAAATGAATACAAAAAGGACAATAAATTTTATAATAATAGTCATTGATAATTACTAATAGTCTACAATAATTACTAATTATCAAATACTTGATACATTATCATTTAAGCTTAATCTGCAAATATAGAACCACTTTACCACTTTTGACGTATAGTTAAATCCTTTGGAAAACTGAAATTAATTATATATTGCTATTATTCATTAGAAGAAATTTATTAAATAATATAAATATTTCTTATACACCTATCTATAGAATGAAATAATTTCTATTTTTGATATTTTTCAATCATGCATAATTTAGGCATTTTCATACAAAAAAATCTATAATATATTTTAATAATATAATACAAAAATTATCTTAAATATTTAAGAATATATTAAATTAATAAGTTTCTTATTACTTTAATCAATGTTTTAGTCAGTTTTAGGACAAAAGTTAGCTTATTTTCTTTTATTGAAAAAATTGTCACGTATGCGTATAACCAATAAATGATATATTTCCGGTATTTTTTGACCACAAATAATAGTATATGTCTCATATATGAGTATATATGATATATAATAATAATGTTATGCCCACAGGTTCTTCTCGACCTCCAATGTATATATTTGACATAATAATCTTTTACATGCAAGTACTTATTATAGAATCAAAAAAAAAATTTTTTTTACCTCAGATGGCATTTGTAACTACAATTATCGATAAAGTTTGAAAGTTGCGTCTCTCAAATGTAGTGTTCAATAGATATTTCCATTTTTATATAAAATATAGAGAATAATTAATTTATTTTAAGTATCTCTATCATTATATATGTAATGCATATTCACGAATAGATTGTAAACTTATTTGTAATTAACAAACCCTTCAACACAAAATATACATTTCATGATTGTTAGTTTTATAATAATTAGTTATGGCAAATAGAATAGAGCACAGCGTATTTTCCTTTTCAATGACAAACTGTGCATATACACGAAAATACATGTATTAAGATAATTATAACGTAAAAATTATTTTATCCTAACACATCATAAATTTATATACTTATTTCTAACTTACATGATAATAATGAATCTCTCGCATTTGTCAAATTTTTAGATTAACAGTTAATAATACATAAATTTTTTCACATAATGTCGATTACAACATTAAAAATTATTCGATTGATACAAACATGTATGATATACAATAATATATATAATTTACTAACATAATGAATAATTTTATCGTAGGAAAAATTCATTATAATTATCAACATTCCATTAATTCGATACTTCTATGCCACTATCAATGAAATCTGTTATATGATTTAATGATTTTTCAGGCAAATTTCTGTAATAAAAAATAAATATAATTTAAATAATCGTTCGAATTAAACAATTTTACATGGTATATACGATATTTTTTACCTAAACATTGTGTTTAATGGGAGCAAGGCTCTAGGGATGGATATGTTTGAATAATTCTTTCTTTGTGCTCTTACTATTAGATCAACAGTCTTTTTCGGTGAAAGCATCGCCAAGATGTTCGTGAACCTGCAAAATCGAATAATTGGCAAAACATAAGAAATCTTAAGTACCTTGAAAACAATTATATTCGTTAAGGCTGTTCACTACCTTTTGTTCAAAACGTGTGTTTTGTTCACCGACAGATATAGACAAAATATGAAATACAGATACAAGCGGGGAATACTGTTCCCACCATGCATCTTATCGTTGTATAAGCTTGTGGTTATTTCTTCTCACGCATATATAATAATTGGTTTCGTGTAAGTAAAATATATAGTTTAGAAGACTATAAACCCACACTTTTCATTCTTTCATATGTACATCTTTCTTCAATGGTAGCGTGCATCTCGCAGTGATCCATATGACGTCGGTACGCTTTTGTTTAACGATAAATGCATAGAAAATAATAAATATAAATGACACATAAGAATTAATACATAAATCTGCGACAAAAAATAAGAATTTGTCGAATAATTTCTTAAAAAAAAATTAATAAATACTAATATATTATATTATTTTAATACAAATTAAAATATGAGTTTATTTTCACACTACTTATAAAGTAGAACTCCCAGTGTTTTTTTTTTACATGGTTTCTCCTGTAGGACTAGTTCACTCTACTACTATTACTATTATTACTACTATTGATAATAATAATAATAATAATAATAATATATAATAATAATAATGAAAATGTACTTAAATATTATTTATATACATCTAGTTATTATTTAATACATTTTATATTATAATAATAAAGACAATTAGCTTCGACTGATCGTGAATAAGAAATAGTGTGGAAACAAATGTATAACGATCATAAGGTAGTAAGAAACAAGGAGAAATGGACAAAAACAAAAGAAACGTTTCATACTTTTTTCATATGTCGTTTGTATTAGACGTATCTATTAATGGGCGATCATGTGTCGAAATTATCAAGGATACGATTGAAAATGTCGTGCGTCAAACGCTACGTAAAATGATTTTTCCTTCTTTTGTTATCATAAATTACCGTCATCATATATGTCACAATGTATACAATATAAATATTCTTCTATTTCTTCTATTTCTATAAATATTCTTCTATTTCTTCTTCTGATTATTGCTTTTATTACTATATTATTACACTACATTTTATTATTATAGTAATAATAGTAGTAATAGTAATAATATGAAGTGAACTCTTACAGAGCAAACCATAACAAAATAGCGCTGAGAAAATTCTCGTAGATAATATGGAAACGAACTCGTGTTATGATCTTTATTAGAAATTATGTATAATATATATGTTCTCTAATTATTAATTTTGAAAAAATAATCGATAAATGTATATACTTTATATGCATGTCATCGAATAAAATAATACTGCTGCTGTGTTCTATCTACAATAGCATGGATTACCGCGAAATTCACGTCAGTTATCAGTGAAAGAAATAAATATAAAAGATTGGATAGTAGTAACTAACACCTTACTAAATTATCAAATAAGGAAAAAAAAGTAAATTAATTAATTATTTTCGTTTACATCGATACAATAGAAAAAACCACCGTAATCATTCAGCCTCGAACCTAAGATTTTCTAAATTACGAATCTAGATGATTGTCAATGTGCGTGCTCACGTTGCTTATAAAATCTCTATCTTTTTAGTGTATAAAATATAAAAGAAATTATAAATTTTTCCAAAATTTAATAATATTTCGGAAACTCAGATCCTTTAATATAAACAATTGGATATGTATTTTCTTATTCTTACCATAGAATCATCTGGCCAAAGCTTATTAAAATGATTGAGTTACCGTAGCTTCTCCTTGCGAGTATTGTGAAACTTATCACTTTGCGTTTGGAAATGTTCAAAAAATTTAAGCATCAGCTATTTACGCAACAACCAAGCAAATAATCGCTACTTCACGGACATAAACATACACCATTCAAGTGTGCAGGTGAAAATCAGTGTGGAGGTACGAGCTTTATCTCTTTTTCCACAGATTTCGAGCGGTGCTATGGTACTAAACTTTTTCTTTGCGAAAAATGTCGAAAACCATTTACGCCATCAATCAAAAAGAACAGAAGTAATTCTTTATTAATTTTGATGAACAAGATCTCATTTTAAAGATGAAGATTTAATCTATCGCGAATTGGTTTAGAATTTTTGAAAAAGGTTTTTATTTGTGCATAAACTATTCCCAAGTAATAAGATTTTTTAATAAGATTTATTTAAGAAAAAAATGAAGCTTTTTTAAAAATTCAAAACCAATATGCGGTAGATTAAATCTTCGTCTTTAAAATGAGACCTTGTTCATCAAAATCGATCAAGAATTACGCTTGTTTTCATTGATGGCGTAAACCATTAAAAAACCTGGGGTAATGAATAACCTTAACGACTATTTTAAATAATAAAATCTGTCGTATAAAATAATATAACCTACCACCCTGAGTCCAACAATCCAATCTGCATGTGAATATAATAAAATGTAAATTTTATAATATAATATTATTATAATATTATGTGATATTTTTTATATACCAATCTTTTTTTAATTATTATTTATTAAAATTTCTTACTTTATCTTAGGCTTCTTACAGAGACCAGTATCCACCATGTACGGATAAATAGTCGTAAAGTTTATATTCAAGTTCTTTCCCTTAGAGTATTCTCGAAGTTCTTCGCTGAGGGCTTCCATGAAACCTGTACGATATTAAATAAAATTTAATGTAATTATTATTACAATAATTCATCATTTTTGCAGATATCTGATTCTCTCATCGTTACCTCGAACTGCAAATTTCGATGCACAATACGGTACCAAATTAGTCAGTCCAACTATTCCAGCCATTGAAGAAAGTGCCACTATGTGACCATGATTTTTTGTGATCATGTTTGGTAAGAAGGCCTGCAATACCTGCAAAACGTTTGAATGTATGTACAATCTTAACTGATATTTTAGATCGATCGAAATATTTAGAATTTACCCAAAAGTGAGCCAAGACATTGACGTCAAATATTTTTCTAATTTCTTCTGGTGTGTAATCCAAAAATGAGTGGCAAGGCATTATACCGGCATTGTTAATTAGTATTGTAACGTTTCCTACTTCTTCTTTAACCCTTTCGGCAACTCTTAATACTTCTTCTCTATCCGTGACGTCGCATCTGCAAAAAAAAGAAAATCGATCTTAATTATTTGTAATCTTAATATTGATAAGAATGCACAAAGATTATTTCTCAAATAATTTTATTTAATTTAAAACGATCTACGTACTTGTAAGCGTAAGCAGATGTTCCACCCATTTTTTTAATTTCTGCTACTGTTTCTTGATTCATTTCTTGATTCAGGTCCCAACACACCACTGTAGCTCCCAAAGAGGCATATTTGAGAGCAAGTTCCTTTCCAATTCCATGACCAGTCCCAGTTATCTGTTATAAAAATATATTTTTTATATAAATATATTTTCGATATAAATCGATAGATGAATTTTTGATACTTACCAAAACAATTTCACCTGTGACGTCTTTCTCTTTCGTAGGTACGAACAATTTATATATAGCTTCACCAATACAATAAAGAATTTTCAAGAGCGTCAGGAGTACATCCACCACGACTAATGCACCTGTATACACTTGAGCCATATCTCCTTATAATAACAATCAAAAAAAAATAATTATTCAAGAAATATGAGTTTGATAATGTAAAAAACATTGTTTGTGTTGTTATGTAGTGCGTACGCCAAGAATATACTTCGACTGGCGTTTGTTTTCTTTGTAATATGTGCACAAGTAGTAACGCTTTGCCCTTCGGTAAATTTTAATGCTGAGGCACTAAACTTGGAGTTTATTGTACCAAATATTACAATTCTCTATTGGCGACAAGAATATTTACAATCGAGGTTACACAATTAATTATTTAAATTTTTGGTAAATCTTAGATTTCTGCGAATCTATTTTTGTAATCCTTGATTGATGCTTATATAATTGATCCTGAGTGAATCTTAGATGCTACTTTCTTCATAACTTGCATCAGATTTTTGTTTTAACTCACTATTTAGATTTTTAAACTGCGGCGAATTTAGTTGTCGCGATTTTTGGTGGATTCTAGTTTCCGGCAATTGATTCTGGTGAATCTTAAATGCTACTTAGTTCGTAGCTTGTGTTAGATTTTTTCTTGATTCACAATCCAATAAATGAAATAAAAGAGGAGAATAAAATTAATGAAATTAATAAATAATACTATCTATTATTCTAATATATTAATTAATACAAAAATTTATTATTAATGAAACTAATAAATAATCTAAATTAATTGCAATTTGTAATTAAATATTTTTTAAATTATTATTTTATTTATAATAAAATTATTAATTTGCAAGATTAGAGAAACTATTCAATCAAGGAAATTATTTTCAAAAAAAAGAAAAGAGAAGGCTAAGAATGTGTAAGAAGAGTTTACGTTAAAAGTAGAAAGAAAGGAAAGGAGTGATCTTCAATCGATCAAAGTTATGTTCGTTTCGGATTGTTTGTTTCGAGTATGTTTAAACGATTCCTCTGATTTACGACTAAATTAAGTAGTTAGATGAACGTTTTTCAATCCCATTCTACTCCGATTTTAATTATGTCTATACGGTATATTTACTTAAGAATATGGAACATAGAATTATAAAACACAAAAGTTCGCTTCCAATTTCACTGTGAAATATTGTCAGTATTACCGAAGTACGTATACTTCGTTAAATCACTTATTTCGTATGTACATACATATACGAAAAGAAACGAGAATTCGTGAATACATAAACATTTCGTTTTTTATTATCAACAATAGAAAGTTTTGATTCGTTCTTGATTATTCAAATTTTTAGTTAGCGATAAATAAGTTCTAGTTTATTTGTATAATTATATACAATTATCAGTCCTTCTATGAAAATTTATTTCTTTATTTATGTGCAATAAAAACATTAACGAGCTTATTCTCGTACGTATCGAACGAGAGATTTTCTTTGCTTCTTTTTTTTCTTTTCTGTAAAAATAAATAACCATTAATCTTATCTTTTGTAGTACAAGTAGTTCTTTTAGTTGAATATTCCTACAAATACATATTAGAGACAACTTTTATCTTCATGATTAATAGCATATGGCATGACATACTTATTTGTATTTACTTGTTTCTATTATATAACTGATAGCAATGATAGTAATAAGATGGATAGAAAATTATAAGTTAACGAAAAAGAGAGGAAAATAAGTAATATTAAATACGCATACTCTATTATATAAATTGCATACTCTAACAGCATCATTGGATCAATGACGACAAAAATGATTGAATCATTACGTGTATATGACATAAAATAGCAAATATACCATACATTAAGATAGTAAATAATCTATTGTCTTACATCTTATTAATAGCACAAACAATGTCATGGATCGCTTAAATTCAGAAATAAAAGAATTAAAAAAAATGAGATTATAACATGTGCATACTAAATTCAGATCATTGTAGATATATGATAGTGCGAGGACGTTACATAAGTAATAAAATAATCAAAATAACCCGAATTGGTAAAAAATGATAACTCAATTTAATCTTTAGGAAAAAAAAAGTATAAGGAGAAAAAATGAAAAAACGATAATATAATTTTTATATAAGCATTTTATGTGTAAGTGAGTACCATGGAACTTCATCAATCAATCCTGTGTATTGGTTTTTCATTTAAATGAATTTTGCTAGTCGTACGAGATCATTAAGTAAAAAAAGAAAAATAAACAAAAAATGAAATTTTAAATTGAAAACTTACTCGGCTGCAAACAAACAAGTCCTATTTTAAATTCGCCTTCCTGTTTCGAATCTTTGAAAGTACCGTAGTCAATCAGTAATCGCCGCGAAAAGAGAAACAATATAGGAAACAATATAGGAATTAGGAAACAATATAGGAAGTCGTGAAGAATTGTTAACTGATACCATTCGCGTTCAGATAGCGATTGCAGACTGACTGTCTGGCTATAATGCTTCTTCGATCACTACAAAAACGACGATCTCGTATTTTAATGCTCTTGCCGAGAATTCTTCTCTCTCTCTCTTTCTCTCTCTCTCTCTCTCTCCCTCTCTTTCTTTCCTTCTCTCTCTCTCCCTCTCTCTCCCCCTCTCTCTCTCTATCTCTCTTTCTTCCTCTTTTCTGTACTATGGAAATATAGCAGTCGTATGATATAGTGAATAGATATACGAACAGTATGTATAGTTGCGAACATTAATTTATCATGATGAGGGGTTCTCTCTTCATATGATTGAATTTCCCTTTCTGTATCTTATTTCTTCCATCTTATTCTAGTGTACAAAATAAAAATGTGTCATTAATATTCGTATGTAGTGAAAATACAATTAACTAATGATGTCTATCTAATAAAAACTAACAAATCGTTTTGTTTGTTACGGTTATTTGTAATTAATGAAGATACTTGGTGTGTGTATATGGAAGAGAAAGAAAGTTAAATAATACCCTCAAAATTAAATTGTTTATTACTTTATAATAATTTCACATAATGGATATTTAATGTTTATTTACATCTTTTTATTTTAATTAAATTTTTTTTCATTCAATTTGGAAATTTTTATATTGAAAAGCATTTATTTTTTAACAAATAAATTAATAATCGTAGATGTACATACTTTTGGTACGTCTACTATAGATGTTGAGCTATAATCCTTTCTACCATGTGCTATACACCGTATAGTATATACATATATATATGTATATATATATATACGATGCGTGTATGATCAAACCAACTTATATCTCGAAAGCAATGTTTTGCTTGTGTAAATCAATAGAAAAAAGAAAAATTTCTTCTTTTGGTTTTGAAATTTAATAATGACCAAATTTGAATCTTGATAATTTCAATCCGAAATTAGTAGTAAGATTTATACTTAAGATGATACTTCAGTTGAGATGATACTTCATTCGTTTCGATATCGATATGAATAACTTCTGAATCATATTTCAAACTTAATTTCATTATTATAAAAATAAATAACGCGTTGATCGTAATATTGTAACTGATAATTTAAAATTGAGTAACATTGTTTCCAAAACAATGGTGAATTATGTTTTTTGAAATTAATTGAATTATTATTAAAAAGAAATGCATCGTATATTATGTTACTGGATTTCCGTATGTATAACGTAATAATGCATTCGTCATAATTGAAAATAAACGACTTTGGATTAGACGAAATATATAATGACGTGCAAATACGATATTTTAAACCATTCAAGAGATCAAAAATAGCAGAGACTTGTACCAAAATATAAAATACCGGTAAACGTAAAAAATATACGAAAATAACGATGTTTTTACCTATATTTACTATTAATTTTTTTATCATTTTTATTTTATTACAATTTTCAAGATATTTGTAAGAAAAGATTTAAAATCGTTATTATTTTGTTATCGGTATTATGTTAATAAAGTTATATCTAAGCCGAAACAAAAATAATAAATTAACCCATAAACTTCATAAAGCTATACAAAGATCGCAAAATGAATCCTTTAGGTATTATATCACTAGTCTATTGGTCTACAACTAATCTGATGATCACACAATTTGGAAATCCACGAAGAAGAGAGTTCAAAAGATCAACAGTAGTAGTTTCCTCAATAAGAAAAGATAATGGCAATTGAGCAAAGATTAATCAAGAAAAAGCCAATGTTTTTGCAGAATATTTTGTAGAAGTATTTATTTCACTTCCATCTTAAAACACAGCTAACGAAATTGTAGTAAGGCCTTTTCCTAGTAGCTTGTGTCAAATGACACTGTCACTGAAGGTCTTCTCATCAGCTGAAGTAAGAAAAGAAATCTTTAACATCAAGCTACATAAACCACCTGGTTACAATATAATATTGGGTTTGTAACTAAGTGATTGTTGGTTTTAAATAAGAAAGAAAATTCAACATTTTTGCTTAAAAATATATCTTTATTCAATTAGGTATTGTCCGTTTCTGCCGATGATCTTCTGCCATCTTTCAAGCAGTGTCATAATTCCATGTTCATGAAACTTCTGATTTTTGCCAGCAGAAAACTGAATTAAATGTGATTTTACATTACCAGCGTTATTAAAAATTTTACCATTTAAGGAGTTCTGCATGGAACGAAATAAATGATAATCTGAAGGCGCAAGGTCAGGGCTACATGATGGATGTGACAACACATCTCAATCTAGTTCCAAAAATTTTTAACGAATGACCAAAGATATGTGGGCCTTTGCATAATGATGCCATAAAGCAACACTCTTACGATTTGCCAATTCTAGCCGTTTTTCTTGAACTGCATCGCTCAGTTTGGCGAGTTGTTGAATGTACATGTTTGAATTAATCGTTTGATTTTTTGGTAAAAGTTCAAAATGTAGAATTCCTTTATAATCCTACCAAACTGACATCATTCACGATCTTTTCCGATTAATGTTGTTATAAACTATCGACTTTTCGTGGTTAATTATCAGTCGTTTCAGAAATAAATCAATTTATTTCGTTGTGTTTCAAAAACGAATCGCAGATGCTAATGTGTTGTATCAAATGAATTTCTTTAAGCTGATGATGGATATATCCATAAATCAAGTTTCTTGACATAGTCAAGCTGTTTTAATTTTTTTTGAATGTATGTATGTGATACTTTGAGCTTCTCTGCAATCTCACGTGTTCTGCTATAACGATCTGAATCGATAATGGCCTTGATATGGGTCTCATCAACTTCAACTGGATGCCAGATCGTTGTGCATTTTTCAGTGAAAAATTATCAAAACGAAATTTGGGAAACCAATTTTGACACTGCCTTTCTTTCAAGGCTTCATTCCCATTTACGGCACATAACTTCTTGTGTGCTTGCGATGCATTCTTGCCTTTTCGAAAATAATACAATAAAATATGTGTGAAATGCGCGTCTTGTTCTTCCATTTTTAAATTGGGACAAAAATGAAACTAAATAACTAATCGATACAATTTTTTTGCTAAATTAAAGGCTTAAGTCCAAACAACAAGAAAACAATATAGATTAGATGCTTTAAACACATTGACAAAACTAAAAAATGTACTAAGACTATCTATTGACAAAATTCGAAATCACTTAGTTGTCAACCCAATAGCAGGAAAAATTTTGAACCATCTTCCCAAGAAAGCCTTAATATTATTAACAACTATCTACAATAGCATGACGCGACTACACTGCTATTCTATACAATGGAAATTAGCTCAAATAATTATAATTCTCAAACTCGATAAACTTCAAATAAAATCATTTCGTACCGACCAATAAGCTAATTGCTGATAATGTCGAAAATATTCGAAAAACTATTGCTCAAAAGAATTAAAGTCAGCTCTTCTGTTGCAAAATTAATCCCTAATCATCAATTTGAGAAAACTATATACTATACAGCAGTGCCATCGAATTATAAACTTCCTCTTAGAATGTCTGAAGGAGAAAAAATGTATATCTTTGTACTTCTAGATGTCCAACAAGCTTTTTATAATGTGTGGCATGCTGAATTACTATACAAAATTAAAACGAATCTCTCCGATCAATAATTTCAGATAAATATTTTCAGGTTAATAAACTTATGGAATTAAACTTGAAGTTGATCTTTCCAATTGAAAACCCTGCGGATTATGACAAATTCTTCATGAAATATTTCTAATCAGACACTTCACGATCTTAAGATACCCTTCATCAACGACATATTTGAACCTCGTAATCAAGCATCAGTAAGGCATAGAAATAGAAATACAGATCATAGTAATCCACTTATTAAAGAATTAACAAACCTGAGAAAAATTAAAAGAAAATTCAAGAAAAATTGACTGAAAAAGCTGGCTAAATAATTATTAACGGTCGAAAACATTTAGCCGTCAAGAATTTGCCTTCCTTGCCATTGTTATCAGAGATGATTCTTTCCTTCCTGTCTACTTTAAGGTGTTTTAAAGGAAACATTTTAGAATTTTTGAATAAAGAAAGAAAATGTTTTCTAGAATTGTATTCTCTAGCTAAAATTGCTTTAGCAATGCTATTAACACAAGGTAGTGTCGAAAGATTGTTTTCATTTTTAAAGTACTCATTAAAATAATCACTTACAATAAGATATAATTAAAACGTGATGCGTATTTACGTGATGCGTGTTATACTATGATATAATTTATCCAATGATATATTAATACTTAAGACTAACAAATATTTAAATTTATAAGTTAAATATATGTTTATTATTTTTAGTTATAGAGAAAAAAAATCATATCTTAATCTTAAATTATCATGTCTACAGTAGAAAAAATATTGGTATTTATTTTCGATAATATATCACTTTCGATAACAATTTATTTCAGTTTCAGAAATATCAATTGATAAAAATTCTGAGCAAAATATCAGTATTAAATCTTTGGAAAATAGTAACATAAATTCATCGGCCAGGTCATGTCACGAACTTATTTAAACTCTTATCTAAATTCGTATGCTGATCTTAGATAAAATTGTATGTAGGGAGGTATTATTGGGATTTTGTATATTACATTTCACTTCAATGAACTTCCTTTCAGAAGCAAATGTACTGCATAATCCTTAGGGTAAAAATATTTACAAAAAAGATCGTAAAATCGCTGATATCATAAAGACAGGAAAGGGTTTTTAAATTTCTTTTCTTTGAAAGAAGAAAAGAAATTCTTTTTCTTCTTTTCTTTGAAGATTTACTGAAAATTATTTCTGTTTATTGAATATCTTAAAAAAAAAAATGTGAAAGTAAATATCACACTTTGAACTAAATAAATATTTTAATAACCAAGGAAAAACGAATTATTATAAGATTAAAAACTCATAGCAATTAAGTAATTCACATTTCATAGAAATAAAAGTAAACAGGATGTATCCGTGATATCGCCACCAAATGGTCTTGGAATTGAATTAACGATGATAATAAATTATAATATCTACGATTGGATCTATGTTTAAAATATTAAAAATAGCACGAAGAAATAGAGTCAAAGCGATTACTTTCATAGTCACG